GCCCTGATGATGTTACCTAGTTGGGTCGTGAAACGTCTGCAGGAAAATGACCAAGCTCAGAGGGCACCCAGGTCCCCACCACGCTTTTGACCTGAATTTCACAAAAAGTCTTCCCCAAACCTTGCTCCGAGCTGCAGGGATGAGCCCCAGATACCTACCAGGCGTGATTTGACTCTCTTGGGAAGCTCCTCATCCAGGGTGTAGATCTCCCCTCGTTTGACCATCAGCTGAGAGCCATCTTCAAACTCCACCTGTGGAAGGAAACGGAGCGCGGGTCAAACACGTGGCCTCCGGTTTAGGATCCGTAGCTTCCGTCTGTGTTCCCTGACATTCTTCCGTTACAGCCAAACCAGAGGGTTGGCCTCAGGTATCCCTCAGTCACGCTCCTTGTTCAGGTCCAAATTATCTCACTTTAGACACTTACTTAAGCAAAGATCTAATGTAGGAGATGGAACGGGAGAACTCGCCACGGCCCAACTCACTGCGACCCACCCGGACTGGCCATCTCGCCGCAGCCAGAATTCACGCCGGATAACTCGGCTAGATGTTATCCGCCACCGTTTCTTCAACATGATTTCCACTGACAAAAATGGAAATTGGGGTGGAGAACGTTGATTGTGTTGAATGATCCCGCGTGGAACTATCGCGTGAGGAAAGTTGTCCCGTAGCGAGATGGCCAAAGCAAGAAGGCCTTCCTGGATTGGCCACGGCACGAGGGCAGCCGCGAGTTCATTGAGGCAACCGGGAAGACAACCACGGCGAGTTGTCCTGGATCAAAGGGTGTCACAAACTTGTGGTGAGTTCTAGTCCCGCCTTAGGTATGAAAGCCGGATGGGGGACTTTGCGCCAGTCCCTCTCTCTCAGTCCATCCCACCTCACAGGGATGTTGTGGGAAAAACAGGAATATTATGTACTAGCTCGATACCCGTGCTTCGCTATGAAACTATGTGACTGGCCTTAGTTTTTGGGAGGAAAATAAGGGGGGAAAAAATTCTGCCTCTGCCTACCAGCATCCATCGATATTCATCTGGCTAGCGTCCTGTCAGTGTATGAGAGAGTTGAGGGCTGTTTGGAAACCGAAGCAGTATTTGCTGTGTGAGCAAGAAGGAGACAACAAGGAGCCTGGGCGTGGCTTAGCTCAACTGTTCTGTACTAAAGCTGTGAAACTAAAACTAAAACTGAAACTCCTCTCCTCTGCTCATGTTTTGCAAAGAGATTTCTTTTCAGGTGGGGAGGGGGAGTAGAACTCCTTAGTATCAGAGCGTGTTAATAATAATCATATAGGGAATATTAAAGCTCTGATGGTCATTTCGAAAAATCCTTTCTTAGTGAGCACCCAGAAGCCAAGAGGAACATAAGTGCCAAATGTCAAGTTTGTAGGCTTTACAGTTCTGGAGATTTTGTGACGATGCGTGAGGGGCATTTCGCTTTTATACATGTAGATTTTCGCCTGCCTTGAATTATTTGTAAAACCAACCTAGGCAGGATTAAAAAAGTAAAGTAAAAATACACAAGTAAAGTAATCTTGGGCTCTCACCTGAAAGATCTGGTTGACGTGGGCAGCGATGAACTTCGCTTGGTAAGTGATGCCGTTGGTCAAGTGTAGCTGGACCACCTCGCCCTCCGCAGGGGCCCCCATCTTAAGGCAGTCTCTGCTCTGAGAAGCAAAATGATTCCTTTACAAGCAGCTCTCGTGGGCTAGGTTCTGTCCCTGAGTCCAATCAGAGGCCAGAATTGATCAGGCAGACCCAAACCTGATCAGAGCTCACCATAATTTCAACTGGGGAACTGAGCATCTGAGACCAAAAATGCTAGAAGATTCCCTGGAAGCTTGGCCCTCAAACAAATCAACCATCAACAGGTACATAGAGGTAAACCACATTTCCGCACCGTTCAAAAGAGACAATAAGAGAAACCAAGAAAGAAGCAAAAAGACTAGAACCCATCCTTTCCAGGAGCAGGCACCCAGATAACCAGGGATTAACACCGGACAAACAATCAAGCAGAAAACCATATTCTCATTAAGAAACGACCAATTCAGGCAGAATCAAACAGTAAACTACAGCCTGATCAAAGAACACTCCCATCAACACTGACACAGCAAGCTGCTGGTACATAAACAGAGTGCAAACCCCACTCCCTTCTAGCACTGATGATGTTCCTTAGTTGGGTCATGAAATGTCTGCGCAAAAAGAACCCAGCTCAGAGAGCACCAAAGACCCCACAGTCCTGGTCCTCCTCCTCCTCCCCGCAAACCCCGCTCCCTTCTAGCACTGATGATGTTCCCTAGCTGCGTCGTGAAACGTCTGCACGAAAACAAGCAAGCTCAAAGAACAGAGTCAGAGGACAGTCAGTTGCACACTCCCCTCTTCAAAGGCTCCCTTGCCCCCCACATCCCCCAAAGCTACTTACAACAATGTTTTCCGGATAAATGTTATCACTGTAGGAGCCGTCCTCAAAATTGACCTCGTAAAAGGTCTGCGTGGTCACCCCAATCACTTTACACCGGTAATAGAGGCCGTTCCGGTTCTTTGCAATGACTGTCTGGCTCAGGGAGACCTCTCTGGAAAAGGGAAACTGGGAAGGACGAAAGAGACGTTCCGTCATCATCCGAAAGTGCCGAGAGGAGCGGGGGGGGAATGGGGGACACAAGGCAGAGAAGAGGAAGGGGAGGGAGCAGATCCAAAGGAGACCTACCACGTGGCTGGCGGCTTTGTGCTTGAAGCAGGTGATGGACACCACATAGGGCCAATCGTCAGGCTCGATGGGCACGCCCGCCGCGTGGGCGCAGGTGACGTGGAAGGACGTGGAGCAGTGCTCGGAGGAGCACTGGATGCAGGCTCCCGACACTTTTTTCATCCGCTTACGGCAGTAGACACATTTCTGCAGAGAAAAGGGGGAATATGTCAGGATTCCAGCAATCGCCCTAATTAAATCGTGATTCTCGAGCCAAACTTCAAAAGGATTCATTCGAGGCGACCTACTGGCCCTGCCCTGTATGAAGCCAACTCGGGCACATGTCATTTACAGTCCCCTGTGACCCTGTTTCCCTCCCTCCCCCCTGGGTGTGCCATGAATCAGATTCTCCAACGAGCACATTCACAGGCTGGGTGTCGTCAATCACGTTCTCCAATTAAATATATTCACCGGCGAAAGCTCTGGTAGTTTAGTTACAATCTTTTAAAGGTAAGAGTTGGAAGGTACTTTCGCTTCCAAACTGCTGCAACTCCGCTTCCAAATTTCCTTCCTGTTCCCCCCCCCGCTTTCTTTTATGGCAACTACTAAAACAGGCCTTGGAAGGTTTTATGAGTTGACAGGAAGTTGTGTTAGGGCATGCGGTAGAGCGTTTGGCAAGCGAGGAGTTCGGATTCTGCCAAGGATGAGCAGTTTGGAAAAGGTTGAGAAAAGGCCATTCTTCGTAAAAGTAGAACATTGATGTTCAGAAGCAAACGTAACTCCCAAGAGTCCAGTACGAGAATGGGGGAATCCCGGCCAGACCTCCGACAAAGGATCCCATGTCTTGTTTCGAGCCCCTTTCCAAAGGAGAAAGGGATCAACTGCCACTAGCCCTAGATATAACTTCTAGTGATGGCCCGGCTGCTGAAACAAAGCCAGCTTAGGGCATACGCTTGAAAGAAGCCTGTAATTGTGGAAAAAATTTGTCTGGCAAGAACAAAGAAGGCTTATTCACAGAAAATATGCACCTGTAACACTGCTAGCAAAATTCTAAGTGGTTAGAAGGACTGATAACAGTAACAAAGAGTTAGGCATCCTGCATAGTTCAGCTAAAAGTTAAGAATAGGGACGGCCCAGAGCCGTGATGGCGAACCTAGACATGCGTGCCGCCGGCAAGCGAGCTGCAGGCAAACTTACCTCACTGGGCACGTGCCTGCCTCACAGCTGATTTTTGGCCGGTTTGAGGCCTTTTTCGGCCTCCCAAAGGCTTGAGGAAGGCTTCTGCGGGCCGAAAACTAGCCCCGTTTCATCACTTCCTGTTTTTCAGGAAATACCGGAAGTGACGAAACGGGGCTAGTTTTCGGCCTGCGAAGCCTGCAGAAGCCTTCTCCTCAAGCCTTTGGGAAGCTGAAAACGGCCTCAAACCGGCCGAAAATCAGCGGAGAGGCACAGTGCAAGGAAGGAGGAGGCGGGGATTATGCGCGCATGCGTAGGGGGTGTGCATTGCCTTCTGGGTGCTGGCACTCGACTGCGAGCATGCAAGCGCGTGCACAATTTTTGGCACAGGAGCCCAAAAAGGTTAGCCACCACTGGCCTAGAGCAGGGGGGGGGTCCCCAAACTTGACAACTTTAAGACTTGTGGACTTCAACTCCCAGAATTCTCCAGCCAGCAAAGTCCCTCTGCTAAATCCCACATACCAGCTATCTTTTTTTTAAAAAAAATAAGTAAATAATATAATTTTATGAGACTTTACAAAAATAAAGATAAATGGTGAATATAAGAAAAAATATCCAAAAGAAAAATTAAGAAGTGCAAACAAAAAATATATAATGAAGGCAAAGAAGAGACAAAGAAATGGTTGCTCCCTTAATCGAGACAGGTACAATCAATTTTAGTTAATTTATCACTTTCTCTCATATTGCAACAAAAGATCTTCCTTCTTTCCATATTCCTTCTTTTATCAATAAACTATTCTTAAAATTGCCCTTCAATCCTAATCATCAAATATACCTCAAGAGTTAAGAGAAATGAAAGCATGTATTTTCATCTTAAGCAAATAAATAAATTTTATATGTTTTTTAACATCACTATTTAGCACTTCCTCAAAAAAAAGAAGAAATTAAAAAGAAGAAAAGAAAGTCTCCCTTCTTCCCATATTTCAGCTTTTCTCTATAAACCAATCTTTAATCATTCAGTCCTAGTTAGCAAAGGTCCATTAAGCTTGATCAGGACAAAAACATATTTTAGCCTCGATCAAATAATCCCACTTTATATAGTATTTTGCTTTTAACGCTCTTGGTTTTTAATTCCTTTAAATAATATCCCAGCATTTGATTTGCTTTTCTCTTCTCAAAATCTCCTTCAAAATATTTTAATAGGTCTCATTTGTGAATCCAAAACAGACAAGGCAATCCAAGTCACCCTTCTGGTTTGTTATCTGAATATTCCTTTTAATTATTAAGACATCGGCTGGTCTTGTTTGTAAATTCAGAGTATCTATCATCTTGTACCAATATCGTTTTTGTAGCCTGTTATTTTTATATCCACATTCAAATCAGCCTCAATCTGCTGAGATCTTCTTTTGTTATCTTTAAGTTTAATTTTTATAGTAAGAGTATTAATATTACAGAGAAGCCTCTCCATGCATTGTCCTCAAATATTCTTAAAGCCTTCCCCACTTAAGACTATTGTGTTGCGTTCTGTATTAATGGGTCTCTTCTCCTTTAATTATAATCTTCAGTTCCTTCTGGTTCCCTCTAGAATCTAACCTTCAGAATCCCCTCCTATCATGTTTTTCTCTAATCAGCAGCATCTTCCCACAGGAAGATTTTTTTATAATTAATTTTAAATTCTTATTTTTTAAAAAATAAAATCCAAGCCAACCCAGGGGGAAGGACTCCTGTAATTAATTTCAAAGCCTTATTTCGGCTCTATCTGACCCCTTCCTCCGTTTATGGCTTTTTCAAAACCAACCTTTGGGTTGCTGATTCCAAATTAAAAAATTAAAATCTTTGAAGCCCTTAAAACTTGCATACAACTTTTCTCCCACAAGGATTGAAGGTGTCAGGAACAAACCCCCCAGAGCCTACACAGTCAGATCAACTTCAGTCTGGATCTTGATTTGCTTTACACCTCATGCAGGTAAGTCCTGGGCTTACGACCAAAATTGCGCTCCAAATGTTGCTAAGCGAGACATTTGCGAAATGAATTTTGTCCCATTTTTGTCCCAGTTTATGACTTTGTTTGCCACCGCTGTTGAGTGGATCGCTGCAATTGTTAAGTTAGTAACCCAGTTGTTAAATGAATTCCCCGTTCATTTTGCTTGTCAGAAGGCCCCAAAAGGGGAACATGTGACCCTGGGACACTGCAACCGTCATAAATATGAATCTGTTGCCAAGCCTCTGAATTATCATGTGGCCACGAGGATGTTGCAGTTTTAACAGAGTTGGACGAGACCTTGTAGGTCATCTAGTCCAACCCACTGCCGAAGCGGGTGACCCTACTCCATTTCTGACAGATGGCAGTCCAGTCTCTTCTTGGAAGCCTCCAGTGATGGTGCTCCCACAATTTCCAAGGGCAACTTCTGTTCCAGGCAATGGTCATAAGTGAGAAAAACGCTCCTAAGTCACTTTTTTCAGAGCTGCTGTAACTTTGAACAAATGAACTAAATGAACTGTTGTAAGTCGAGGATTATCTGTAGACAGAATTTGGCCGGACTATAACTGTCATCTTCTAAAAGATAAAATTGGTTGGATTTTATTTATTCTGAAACTTTTTCCTGTCTCTACCAACCTGTCTAATTCAAAGTTCTCCGGGGTAAGGTTTGATTTTTTTTCTCCCAACTATGAAAAATTGACAATGAACGAACCATCACTTGAAACTTTCAAGAAGAGATTGGACTCCCATCTGTCAGAAATGGTGTAGGGCAGTGGTGGCCAACCTTTTGGGGTTCCGGTACCAAAAACTGTGCGTGCGCTTGCATGCGCACAATCGCATACCAGCAAACAGAAGGCAATGCACGCGTCCTCCCCATGCCCACTGCACAGAGGCGCGCAATCCCCCGTCGCCGCCCCCTTACCTGCACTGCGACTCACAGCTGATTTTCAGCTGGTTTGAGGCCTTTTTCGGCCTCCCAGAGGCTTGAAAAAAGCCTCTGCAGGCTTTGCAGGCCGAATAATAGGCCCGTTTTATCACTTCCGGTGTTACTGGAAGTGATGAAACGGGCCTATCATTTGGCCTGCAAAGCCTGCAGAGGGTTTTTGGACAGGGGTCCCCAACCACTGGTCCCCGGACCGGTACCGGTCCGTGGAACAATTTCTACCGGGCTGCCAGTTTGCTGGGCGCCGCCATCTTGTTTTGATGAGAAAGTGCTTCCGGTGAGCTTTTCCGGGTAGAAAGCGGCGTTTGGGTGCTGAAAGAATCCTCGCGGCTTAGTTTCATCGGGGGGGGTGTGTGGCTTCGAACAAAACTAAGGCGCGAGGATTCTTTCAGCATGCATGGCAAGGTGAGCCGAGCGACTGTCCCGAAGCCGTCGCAAAGCCCATCGACACAGGTACAAAGGAGGAGTTGAAGGTGGCGGGGAGAAGCGGGGGACGGCTGGCTGGCTGGTTGCTCGGCTCGCCTTGCCATGCGTGTTGATGCCGGTACCGGGCCGAGGATGATTTTGTGATGCTGGTACCGGGCCGCAGATGATTTTGTGATGCCGGTACCGGGCCGCGGCACAAAAAAGGTTGGGGGCCACTGCTCTAGGAGGCCGAAAAAGGCCTCAAAAACCTGCCAAACATCAGCTTTGTGGCGTGCATGTGCGCAGTGAGGTAAGTTTGCCTGCGGCTTGTGTACCACAACGAATGGCTCTGCATGTCACAAGTGGCACACATGCCATAGCTTTGCCATCACGGATGTAGGGTCTCCTTGCTTCGGCAGGGGGTTGGACTAGATGACCTACAGGGTCCCTTCCAACTCTGCTTATCTGTTATCTGAACCCAACTGGAATCCTGAGATATTGACTGGAAGTAAAATCCCAGCTAAGAATAGGTTTCTCTCACTGTATATTTCACTGGGCTGGGAGAGTTTTAGAAGGAAGGAAGAAGGAATAGACTTCGTATTTGGGAAGGGCTAGACAAATAGTCCCACTTGCACCTTATGTCAGGCGTCCGAATTGATCCCTGAGATTCATACAACTATTTACACAAGGGTAACTGGTGTG